TTTTTTTTTATTTTATATACTTATATAAAGTTTTTCTTCATTACCCATTCAAGCCGTCATCAAGATAAATTTTTTTTTTTCTAAAAACATGTTACTCATCAAGATTACATTTTTTTCAAAAACATGTTACTCATCAAGATTACATTTTTTTTTCAAAAACATGTTACTCACCAATATTATATATTTTTTGTATTCCCAGTTAGTCGTCTTCACTGTGAGAGTGAATCTTTTAAGATGGACTTGATATTGGACATTAACAACCAGATCTATCCTGTTGATCTAGGTAAGCATAGTTGTTGTATGTTTGATCGTTATATTGTTTTAATTACGCGTATGACTACACATAGATGTTGCTCAGTATTTAGTTATTGCCTCCATCGATCACATTCGAAGATGCACTGAGATTATATTGTTGAAGAACCATTAGTACATTATATGGTAAAGAAGAAAATAATATATATATATATATATATGGGGACATTATAATGTGATGGTCAATCCCACTATTCGTTGGTAAACAGGAGTTTGCGGTGGACGGTGTTTATGAGCTGAATTCCCTTTAGTCTGTAACTTCTAAATTAGGGACGACTAGCGCAGATAGCTCTGGTGTAGCTTTGCGCGAAATTCAACGAACAAAGAAATATATATATCGCCAAACGGGACATTCAAATTATAATATCTGAAGGTATTATATTATGGTACCAGAGATTTCAGGGGGAAGAAGCAAAAACACCCGCCGTGGTTGTAACCCAGTGTTACAACTTTTAAAGATGCAGATACGTTGCTGCAACGTGTAAATCTCTCTCACGATGTGTGGCTGTGGTGGTAACCACCATAACTCAGAATGTCCAAAACAACACAGTAACCCACTATGCTCTAACTGCCAACAGCAACACACAGCTAATTATAAAGGATATCCTAAATATAGACATCAAAACTAGAATTCCACACTATACACAATAACTCAAGGCTCGCTGAAACAAACACACACCATCCAGAAATAAACTCTAACAGAAAAACACCACTATTGCCTACACCAGATACACCTACCACGCCCGTACAGACTATATCTTACGCAGAAGCAGTACGATAATAACTACTAAATAAAGAAACGCTAATGTCAACAAAAATCCAGAAACAACCTAACGGTTCGAATGTAAAACAAAACAAAAATCCAATCATAGTAAACAAACCAACCAACACTTGAAACCGAACCAAATCACATCTTCGAAGCCATTAAAAATATACATTCATAGATTTCAGTACAGAAACCCCCAAAACAATACAGATACTTTCACACACTTAATAGAAATAGCTAAACAACACTTTATACCTGTTATACCACACACCATACACTTATTCTTAAGCCTAAATACCACAGAATCATGTATTCATATTATCAAAAACCAAGTAAATATAAAAGTCACCCTTTTCCAGAGCATCACCTCCATTGGTCATAGATTCATGGACATGGCTCTGAAAAGGAAAATGGAACAATAAGACAACAAACCTATATTAAAATAACTGTCCAGGAGGGAGGAAGAGGTCAAACTGTATCTGACCCTCCCAGGTTTACACAAGACCTAAACCCCGATGATGATCCGACGACGACTCTCACCAAACGAAATAAAAATAATTATATTGCACATCATCATCTCCTTCTGTATTTTTATGTTTTAATGACTATGCATTTCATAATTTTTGCTTACAAGTTTAATAAATAACTCGCTCTGTATTTTGATTTTCAGTAACTTGAAAGAGTACTAATATGGTAACATAGAAGAATACAAGGTTTATACACAACTTTTAAAACTGTAAAACTTTATGGAGTAGAATATCAATAAAATGATAAATAAAGGCTGACTCACAAAAACAAATTTGTCTGGTAAATAACGGCTGACTCATAAAATCAAATATGTCCTTGGATAACTTTTTGCGTCTCATGTTCGAATTAACTCTTTGCAATTTGGGTTTAGAAAATAACTAAAGAACACTGATGAGCAAAAGTCGGCAACTTATGGCACACAAGCCAAACCTGGTTCTTCGAATGACCAAAACATTGCTTTTGAGTCTCTCAGTGATTCATACAAACAAAGGAAAAACAAACAAACATACTAAGTAATTAATAGTATCCCCCACAAATTTATCGTTGGTCCACTTTATCATCCTACTTCTGTATTCATGTACCATCTGCTCCTACTGGTATTTGTATTGATACAATGAAAAGACTCATTAATGCATTGCACTAAGTACAATAATAAATTTACATTTTCTTTGAATTTTGAGGTTTTCGACCCCTTTAATAAAACAATCTTCAGTGTTATTGGTTGGTAAAATTTCAGCTGTATTGGATCATTTCGGGTGTCCCCCGTGGGACAACGGTAAGACTTCGGCTTTAGAATACTAAAATCAGGGGTTCGATTCCTCTAGGTGGACACAGGAGATAGCCCGTTGTGGCTTTGCTATAAGAAATCACACACACTTCGGGGATGGTTATAAATTCTTAGTGTTTTTTTTTAATATATAAATAGAACTATAGATTAACAAATCCATTAAGAACAACACACATGTTTATATTTCCTTGCCTGGCCTTTCAGACTTGGTTGAGTTGTAATGTGACGGTTCAATCCCACACTATTCGTTGGTAAAGAGAAGCCCAAGAGTTTGCTAGCGAATCATTTTCAGTGTTTGAAAATATGACATGTATGCAAGTAATTTTTTTGTATAATTTCAAAGGTCTTTTGTTACTTGTGTGTGTGGGTTCGAATATTTATAAACATGCGAAAACATGTAGAGCGGAGGAGTAGAAACCTTTTAACAAAAATGTTACTATGAACAAGTGAACCAGACGTTTGATAATCTGTATTTAAAACATTTTTTAAATCTCTAATTTGGATTGAGTCCCATCTTCCATTATGACACTATTTATTTTTAATATTTATGTGATATACATTAATATCCATGATAATATTATTTAATGTAGAAACAAATGTTCTCCATTGTAAGACAACACCCCAATTTCCATGTTTTTCATGATAATTCTGTTTGTTTCAAAATAGTTTATCTCTTTATGTAGTAGACTGATTATTTGATTGTTCTATATTAAGGACGCGCGTCAGTTTCTTGGACCTTGCAGTGAGTAAGCTTCTTTGTGACCGACAATAAAAAAAGCCACAGTAGCTTCTCAAATTCTTTGAAATATTAGTAGCCAGTGACAGTAAATACATCGCTCCAGTGGCACAGCCGTAAGTCTGAAAGATTATAACCCTGAAACCTGTTGGGCATATCACAGATATCTCATTGTGCTTAGTTACAAACAGACAGTAAATGCTTCACCACCAATAAGAAAAACAATATATCGAATGTGTTATCGAATGTGCAACATCTCGTCCCGAGATTGAACTTTGGTGCGAATAAAGTTTATCAGTGTTGTCTTTCAAATGTCTGAACACGGGTAGTGAGCACCGAGATTAAATACACGGGAAGTGAGCACCGAGATTAAATACACGGGCAGTGAGCACCGAGATTAAACACACAGGTAGAGAGCACCAAGATTAAATACACAGGTAGAGAGCACCAAGATTAAATACACA